GCTGAATGATTAATAGCTAGTTTAATTTTTTTTTCCAGAACACTGCTACATTCATTTTGTAAGACAAATGTTCGGTTCGGCTCCTCAATGCGGTGGCTTTACTGTAAATTTTGATTGTGTTTGGGTTTTTGAAGATCATTTTAGTCACCCTCCTCTCTCTGCCAAGTCAATTGTTGACCATATTTGCCTTTTTGCTAATGGTTATATATGTTAAATCGATTAATCGCCGAACATTCAAAAATGCATTTACATGCTAATTGTGTTCGGGTGTTTGATCCTAAATGTTGGTTTGCGCCTCGCCTTGTTTATTTTGCTTTATTTTATTCAATACTTCTTAAAAGTCAGTATATGTCACCGCTCATCAATTTGATTTTCTCTGCAGCCAGATCAATAGGTACTTTTTTTCAAAGTTTTTTACGGACAACAACGGTATTTATTCCAGCAGTTCATTTTATAATCGACAGGATTATTAACATAAAGATAAGAATTTTCTTTACAGTTCAACTTGTGTTGAGGTATTAAAAGTCATAAGCTACTGAGCATTCGTCCACTGAGCATTTCAACTGCTTAATTTGCTCCTTTAATTAAATGAATTCTATACACCTGTTGTTTTATTAAAAACCAGTTTTTTGGTTTTACACGTTCACATTATTATGACTTTCATCATACTTCAACACCACGCATTGAAAAGTGATTAATCGGCAGGACTATTTGGCCAAACATGAAACAAAGTGATTCGGTTTTTGTCAATGAAAATCCCCATTATACACTCACAGGCTGCCACTGCATTCAAACCACCCAAAACGAGGCGAGTCAATGGATGGTCCAGTCCTCCCTCAGCGAGTTCAGTTGCCTTTTGGTCTGCTTCCTTATTGCTACTTGTAAATTTCTACGGAACCAAATGGATTAATATCAATTTGGACTGGATAGTTTCACTTACCTTGGTACGCTTTATTTAGCTGAAATGTTCAAACAATTCGCTTAGCCGTGTAGATTTTCTCATTTGAAAGCATTTTCCACCAATGTAGATAACGCGAGATCTAAAATCGGGTTGATTTTTAGCGTTGGGTATATTGTCATTACTTTGCAAGCTTTTCCAAAAAAAGATTATCACTGCACAAACAAAGTAAGGGCTCATGCATCAACAATCTTCATTACTATGAATTAATCATTATTTATGTTGCTTTTTTAGTATTTTTTGCACGTCAATAATACAAGTGGAAGAAAACGCTTCACGATTAATTAGGACCCTTTAGTACTTCTTAAATAATCAAATTCACTTGCATAGAATATGGAGAGTTTCTAACCCCACCTTCAGCACTTATCCGTCCAGTTATTTGATTGAAAACTGATCAGACTTACTATGGTATAAAAACATGATTCAACAACCGTATTTATTTTGCTGCACTGAAACATCGCATCTTTCATCGCTTGACGTTGCAAGAACCTTCATGTGATCATAGTAACCTCCTTTAGCATTCCTTTAAAACCAATTTGCTTTGTCCCCCTTCATAAGTACAATTGCTTTCCTACAATTAACTGATGGATCACCACCCTATACCTGCCCCACAACCATTCCTGAAAGCATTGATGAGTTTAACAGTATTCGTGACATTAAAAAATTGAACGGGCATATGACCATAAATTTAGGGCAAATATTCTTCAATGCATGTAATAACTTTTTCACTTTTTCCCAAGTTCATCATTAGTGTGCACTTGGTCACCTTCGCATTTATTGTGACGACGGCAACGATCGACCCCTCTGAGCTCATTTTGAGACTGCAGAAGTCCTCTGGAATTCTACCACAGTTCCACCAAGCGCAGCATCTGCATGTAATTGAAAACCTTTTCTGCAACATATGCGAAATTAAAGTGTGAGTTTGGCCAAAGTTTCCACCTTATACCTGCTGATATCAGTACATTCCTCAAACGTGCCTCTCTTCTATTTTGGTCTTCATGTCGAAGGTACATTTTTCAAGGATTATCGAGTCACCTCTGTGAATTGAGGAAACATCTCATTCCGTCAATCAGCGAGCATGCATTCAAAACCACTGCCTTTAGCCGTAGATTGTGGAGAGAATGCAGCTGTTGTCTGCAATAAAATTTCGAATTTTCATTACTTAGTGTGGAATAAATAGTATCAAGCAATTTAGTGTATAATCGGCAATTTAAACTTTAAGGCAATACCAAAATTTCCCCCTCTACGGGCATATTACGATAACCACAAAGGTATTTAGCTATCAAAAGGCAGGCCAGAGGTATTGTCTGAGTTTTCGTGCATTTTTTAGTGGATAACTGACGATAATCCGACCTATCCTATCCTTCAACAATAAATAAACTTCCCCGACTTAACCTTTACGTTTCTCTTCATCTTTCAAGCACCGATCAGAAGACGAAGCACTGTAGAATATGTAACAAGTGTGTTTTGAAATTCGATCACCATTGTCGCTGGCTCAACACCTGCATTGGTTCGAGGAATTATCGGTAAATACCCTGTCACTCAAGTATTTCCCTTTCATATGGCAAATTAAATTCGCAAAGATTGATGCCAAATTGAATTCCATCTAAATGAAGGCATGCAAGTGGCTGTTGTTTATTTGGTAGCAATAACTGAAAAAACCAGTTACACTTTCAACTTACTTGGGAGACGTCTATTAGTCTCCCTACACGGTCCTTTCAGGACCTAAAGACTTGGAAGCTTCAGCATGCTTCTGACTGCAGACAAATTCGTTGTTCCCTAAGCAATAATCATTCCATCCTTTTTTTTTCTGGTTCCTTCTAGGAAACAGATGCGCGATTCCTTTTTGTACACAAAGTTTATGTGTTCCACCTTCTTTCGCCCGACAGCAGATTTCTTTTCTCGTATACCTTTTGCCAGAATATTCCTCACAGCAGAAATTTACTGGCAGTTTCGGGTTTTGCTTTAATATAAGCCAAGTCTAGAAAAGTAGTGCAAATATGCAAAGCCCTATTCTCGAGTTTATCTCTAACTGCAGTGTTCGATTTGATCACTACCGTGTAAAGCGAGCTCTGCCTGATCTTCAAAGCTTTACGCAACTCAGTTGGGAAAATTTCTCTGCACATGCACTTTCTCGGGTTCCGTCAACGAACTCATTGGTTATCTGTTACAATTGACTAAATTTCTCCGCCTAATAAGTGTTTTGATCATGCCTCTAAAGCCACTTAATTTGTCACCTCCAGCTAAAAGCCACACTCATTTTTTTGGTACTTTAACATCCCGTTTTTAATTGACAATGATTCAATTTGACCCATCTGGAATCCCAGCCTCCAAGAATTAGAAAAGGTAATCACTTAAGCACGTTTCACTAATTGATTATTAAATGCGCTGTTCTCTAAAGTTTATCTGGCAATTCATCATCATTGCTTTCGACTTTTATCATAAAAGCGCTTCATTCCAACTGCGAAAAAGCATTTGTATTTGAGGTCACCTTTCGATTTTCCATGTTGGGGCATTTTTGTGTGACACTACGAATAAGATGAATTCTATCAAAAAGGCAAGTGTGAAAATCATTGGTTACAAAACTTTCATTCAGTGCATTTAATTATGAAAATGAGTCGCGTGGAAGACCTGAGAATGGAATTCACAACGAAGAGACGAAGATGTGGTGCACTGATGGTACAATTAGGGCAACTAATCTAACGCGCACAGACCTTATACAAAAGATCAGTAAGATTTGTGGCTTTGGCGTATGAATTGACTCCGCACCTTGAGTTCAGTGATTTCACGGTGGAAGATCATTCCGAAATTTATCTTGAGATAGTTACAATTGTAAGATGAAGAAAGCATACAAAGAAACCGAGGTTACAAAGAAAGAAAACTAGTGAGATTAGATTGAAGGGCATAAATGAACACCTGCAGGACGAACTAGGTTAAATTTTAGTAGGGTCACAATCAATCATTAATGAAGGTTGCTTCAATGAGGGTAGGTTAACTTAAAAATATCCATACATCACATGCCCTGGAGAATCCAAATTATTTAACCGCTATTGTTTAGCTACAAAATATGCATTTGGAAATAAAAAGCTGAAGGGAAAATCCGGTACAATTATTAGAGGTGTAAAATGATAAATGACCGAAAGTAAGACTTCCAAAAACCATAGAGAAAGTCAGCATGCGAAACTGCGAGAACCGATACATGGCAATGATTCGACTATCATTTAAAGTGGAAGTAAAAAAAAAAAGATTATACGGAAAGATCAAGAAAAATAAATTAGTATACCAAAAAGTTAACCCACGCACAGATAATTGC